GTGGTCATGGAAAATCTGTACAACTAAAAGAAGGCAGGTGGGAAGCAAAGACATGTTACATCACCTTCCCTGTAGCTACTATTTGCCTTTAAATAGAGCGAAGCCTCCCAGGGAATGAGCTGACCGGGGCGTGTTGATAGACGACTTTGGGTGGCGTTCCGGAGTGAAGGGGTTTCTTGTATCCTTTAACGTCTTGTTGTTGGCAGCAGGTGCTCCTCTTCTCCACACATGGTACATCGTGAATTTGTAGGCTTGAGTGGGGAGATCTAGGTGGCGGGTACTTTCTTAATATCGTTCTTGATAACAACGGAAGCTTATCTTTCATGTTCAGACCAATCGTACCTAACACCTAGTCGATTGTTCTTCGCAATGGTGATTGTTGCAGGTTTCTGAAGATCATGATCCGTTTTGCAACGTAACACCACCAGACACCTTGACGGGCAAAAAAAGCGAGCAATTACTTAAAGGCAGTGAGTACGATAGGTCAAGAAGGTTAGAGGAGACGTGGTGGTGCTCAAGTGGTACGTCGGTGGCGAAAAAAGCGGAGAAATCCGAAAACGCAAAATGGGACCCCTTTTTTGGCCGTTGGTTTCATGAACAGGTAACAGCTCAGAAAGCGGACGTATGAACGAGTTCAGCGCAACGCGTTTGGTGGCACCATGCCAAACCACGCTCCAATCGAGTTGCTCCAGTTGTGCCGCTGCTGGCAACGCAGCTCGTCCAAATCACCAACTAAACTAGTGGGCGGATCGCTTTTGGGGGCGGAGTGCTTTCGAAGTCCTGCTCAGCAACCAGCGCACCTTCGTCGTGAAAGCGCTACACCTCGCTTCCTGGCAGCCAAGTAACTGATTCGTGTGGTGCATATGCTTCCCGATGCGCTCCCACTTTATCGTAATCGCTGCCTTCAATGAAGAGCAAAAGGGTCGAACAGTTCAAACCAAATGGATCCTAAGTGGTTAAATTAAAGAATGAACATCCAAACTTCATCTTTTCACTTTTAAAATTGTTATGCGGTACGCTCTTTGTTACCGTTTTTTCGTGGCCACCCTGTACAAGTGCACGACCTTTTTTCCCAGCTAGCATTGGCGCTGTTTTGGTTCTATCGCGTAGGTGTTTCCTCATCTGATACTCTCCTTGTACACCACCACCACAGTCTGTTCCGCATCCTCCCCGGTCACAATGGATTCAATTCGCTGAAAATGTCTCCGGACATTGTGCACAGTTCGATGTGAACTTGGTCAGTTCTTGCTTTTGTGGACAACGTAAGAATATCCCAAAAGATGCAATATTGGTTAGTAGGAATGCGTAGGTGGCATAACAACCACAAGGTTTTCGCAGCCGAGTAGGATTGCCTCGCACATCTGCAGCAGGTTTTTGCATCCCATAAGTACGAAACATCCTGAATTAGGAGTGAAAAACGGTCGCACCAACATTTACCCACCTCAATTGCACCAACTGCAAATAACTGAGGCGTGGACTGAGTGTGAGAGAGCAGACTTTCGTAAAAATGGGCAATCAGACAAGAATGTCCCCGACTTAGCACGATCCTATTGTGTCAGTGTCATTGTTTTCTTTCAACGATTTGTGAATTACTGATTCATAGTTTTGCATAAGTACAGAAAGTATTGCATAGATACCTTTATCAGAAATCTTTTATTCTGCACTCTAAGTGATCTCGATAGCGCTTCAAATTTTATTACTGGTGCGTGCATTGTTACTTCTCTGTTATTTCTTTCGCTGTTCTTTACTAAATGAAGTATTAAATTTTTGATGGCTTAGATTACTTAGCTTGTCAAAATGATCAAGTTTTAGTTCCAAATTTTTTATGCATTGGATTATCACTTATCGTTAGCGGCAGACTGCAGCTTAAATACTACAGCGTGAAAGAAATTCGGATGGACAACTTAAAAATACTTCACGACTTGAAGTCCTACGGAATTGCGACTCCGTCCCAAACCTTTAACTTCCCCGCCGAATGCCTGCCGTTCGTTTTTCTTTATCCTCCTGCGCTCTAACCAAGGGTGAAACAACGCTCGCGCTTGGGTCTCGAAAGGTTTTTGTGCGGCCCCGAGCGTCAGGCTTACGACCACTCTTTGTTGTTCATACAGAACGCTCAACATAGGTAACGGGATTAATCGCGAAGCCATCAGAAATCTCCGCTTGATGGCAACGGCTTCTCCTGCCTGTGAAGGCCTGCAAGTGCTGACAAAGTGGACCCAAACTTTTAATAAGGCATACCTCCATCGTCGAAAGGTGAAAATACCATCCAAGTGTGACTTTTCAAAAGCTGTGAAAAGACTCAGCAACACCAAACATTTTTCTATTCGGAGAGTATCACATTTGTGATCGTTAGATTTTTCTGAAAATTCCCTTCGTACTTTTTTTCGTGCGAACGAGGGTTTTTGGGTTGTTAGTGACCATAACATTCTTATTCCCAATTACTGTAGCAAATGTTTGGCACGGCAAGTAAGTAAATAGGATTTGTGCTTCCCAACAAGCGTCTTAGGTGTTTCTCAAAATTTATTTGTTCGATAAAATCTTACGTTCGCTCTTTTTTGGAGGGCAGTTCGTGCCCTCGTCATATCCTTCGGGTTTAAAACGCGAGTTTTCGGACTTCCACTGACCATAACTTTCCTTTTGTCAGGCTCCATGACTAGCCTGGAGTAGCGCTGCCCTATTCTTGCGGTGGTAGCCTGGGCCTTTGAAGAAAACGATCTAGTCGAAACGTCAGATCACTAATAAAGTTTCCACCTAGCAACCTCGTTGGCAGAAGAATTACATTGTAATTTCCTCTTCATCGTTTTTGTGGCAAACTCTTGATTTGAAGAGCGAGAAAGAACAGGACCTGAACTTTCTGAGGAGCGCTTAACCTTTTCTCGCAGTTTTTTTTTTGAAAGAAAATCACACGCCCGCACTTTTTTCTCAGGTTTTGAGCAGCACCTTCAAGTTTTTGAGCTTTCAGCAACCGAAACTTTCTTCAAAAAGGCTGTTGTGGACGATCAAGGGCATTTTTGACAACCACGGAATTTCTGCTTTCTAATATGCTCCATCTTCTTTCGAGAGGCTCCCTCAAACAATCTGCCTACTGTAAAACTTTACTTACATCCTCGAGAAGTCAATCCTTCCATGGCTCCGCACTTCGTTCCTCTTTGTTTCTCGGAATGCACCGAGATTCGTCCTCTTCACACCTCCATCCACTGACCAAATGCCATCACCCCGATATCGTCTGCGGGTCGTCGGGATTCGACCCCCACCCCAGTTCATGACCAAAATTCGAACCCGTCTTTTGAATAGTGCGAACGGGCGGTTGACCCTGGTTCTAAGCTTTGCGGCAAAGAAACAAAGCGCGGCGTTCGCATATAACGTGAGATTTGTATAATGCTCAAGAACAACTTCCAGTGAAGTCCAGTTCAGCGGTTTTCCTAATTCGCTTTGTATTTTCTTCACTTTCTCATTACGTACACCTCTAGTTTCCTTCGATTGAAAACCATCGATTGCCATCAAAATTCTTATGACTTCTATATCAGGGAACTAGACAACATCTCTATCCCTCCTAATACTTGATCCTTTGTCCCAGTGGATTTTACATGCTGTATCCCTCGAGCAAAACGGAGCCTTTAGAACGCAGTTGTAGTTTTTATTCATTCCTATTTAATGACAAAACAGTGAGGCAGTGACAAAATATATGCAAACACAACAAAAAACAAGTGAACAAAACAACAAAGAAATTCAACAAGTCAAGAGGTGAAACATCAATAAAACTCACTTAGCGCAATCCATTGCGCTTGAAGGGTTTCAAAATGGTTCAGTGTGATACTTCAATTTCAGGAACGCTACATATGTGAATCTGGGATACAAAGTACAAGACTATTCTAGGTTACAATATTTCAGGAATGCACTCCTATCCCGGCGAAACAGGGTTACGGATTTGTTGATAAGCAGACCACAGGATAGTTGCCGCAAGGCTGTGTTTAGCAATTCTGCAAAGTTTTCAGTACTTTTTGACCCCGCAAGGCTTCTTTGCGAAGAAGTGTGCTTGCTGAAGTGAAAATAACGTTGTTTATCCCAATTCATATTTCACAATTGTTCGTTTTGTTAGCACGTCCATAGAAAATTCCAGGGGGGGGGGGGGGGGGGTGGTAGCATCGGAGCAGAAATTGGCTCACGGCGGCGCGCGCAACCGGAGCGACCCGTGCTGCGGTCGACGTCAAAATGACGTAGCAAGGCGGCAACTGGGCAACGGACCTAAGAGCGGCAAGCAGGGGACAAGGTTCATCTGCCTACTGCTGGTTCATAGATAGCGTTATTTACAGGTGTAATTTACTGTTCGCCACAGTAAATTCGAATTCTCCAAATAGCGAGAAGTCAAGGTTCGCCAAACGCTCAAAAATACACAAGCTACACGCTTCGCCGGCAGTGAGCTTTCATAGTGCTACACAAATCCTAGCTAGTCCATATAGAGACGCACCACTTCCAAATTGCCGAGATTTGAACCTTGTCTTATTGGAACGAACACGGTTTAAGGGAACGGCAAATCTAGAGCAAAATACAGTTGCACATCATCGAACGCTCCTCTAAAGGAGCATATGACGTTAAGTTTTTTTCTAGAGCAGTCAGAACAGACTTGGCGATCACTACCACGGTTAAGCCTAGCTATAGGTTCAGGCTACACTTCCGCTACCCTTAGCCTTAGGTGTAGCTAGCTCCCTACGAACAATATCAGGTACTCTATCTAAAATGACCTGACCCGACGAGGTGAACCAAATACACATCCATTGAGTATTAATAACGGCATACGGTGAATTTTTCTCAAAAAATTCATGGTTTGGCGCCCATGAGATATCAATTCCAGACTGTCCATCCTCATTCAGGCTATAATCTGCCATATAATGAGATGTTTACCGTATGAAGGACTGTGCTTAGTTAAGCAAAGTACAATATCCAAACGAAAAACTCAGAAAAAGGGATTCAGAAACATCTTACAACCAAAACCAACTCCTTCACAATTCCTTCCTAATTTTCGAAATCCTATACAATATCACATCGGTAGCATCATCGTAAAGTACCTGAGTTACATCAAAATCATCTCTCAGAGTCTCGTAAAAGCGTTTATCCTTAGGATAGCGAATTTTGCTCGCCATTAACATAAAATTATCAGTAGTAATCAGCTGCATAATCGCTTTTCTCAAGGCTTCAAAGACTTCTTCGTTATAAACTAAATCAGCGCCCAAAATGATGTTTGCTGACAAAGGCTCTTCGGGAAGAGTAGCCCAATCTAGCGGTACGATACTAACAGCCGACATTTCCTCTTCACGCAGATTCGCAATGATATTTTCCCTGAGCAATGATATTGCTAAAGGCTGATCTGTGGCCATTACTCTCTTGGCAGAAGCTTGGCAGCAACGATGGACGGCAGTCCGAGACCGGCATCCCAACTCGAGTACTCGATGACCACGAACAAGATCCGGATGGGTGACGAGATATTCAGAGAGTACAATTGCCTTAAAAAGGTGCGGGATTAAGGCTCGTATGTTCGACCTTAAACTGAATATGTGGCCTAATAATGAAAATGAAAACTATGTTGCTTTCTTAATATTTGTCTTTCACTTCGAAGTGACTAACTATATTTCGAAGAACCAGTCCAATGTTCAGCAATGGAAGAGTTCACTGGCTGGCATATTGGCGGAACGAATGGCGCAGAACCGTTCCATGGCGACAATTAACGTGAAATTTGAAAGGCAGGTAAGGAGCTTTTAGCACTGATAACCAGTTTAATAAATTCATTATACTAACCGAGTCCCACAAAACACCGGCAACTCCATTTTCATTCCAGCTTTGTTTCAGGTGAATTACGAATGAGCCAACTGTCACCGACTTCTCCCGGGCTGAGAATCGTTTTAGCGGAGTCTACAATGAGTATGTAATAATTAGCAATCACCCTTACTATTACAGAGAGGAATGACAAGTTAGGCCCAAGGGACAAGCATTTGATGAAGTCGAGAATTATTTCCTACATTTTTCATTTATTTTCTTATTTCATAACCCGATTCACATTTTTTTCTAGTGAGCAGGAAGAGATGCGAAGCATTTTCGAATAGCTCCACCTATATGGTTGAGAGATTCATCCAGCATATATGCAGCGGACGCAGTGTGCGAGGATTAGAGCTTGTAACTTCAGCCGTCGCTAACCATTCCTATTGCTCACGTTGTCATTGACTAGTATGCAGTGGAGTGCATGCGTTCGGCCCGTGTCAGACTTCGCGAATCGAGCGATTGTGATAGCGACACCGCAGACTCTACTAGCTCGCTACTAGTGGATCACTGAACAAAGTCTGACACCGGTCTCCCCATTCAACGGCTATGTTAGACTTACAGGGAAGAAGGAAAAACCATGAGAAACGGCCTGGAACCCAGAAATGGGACCCTTCCTTGCCCGTTGATTTCCGCATTGATGCGACTCTCATCGTGCCCTCTTCAACGCTAACGCTCTCTCTGCTATGTCGGTGGGCGTACCGCGCCAACTGCGCCAAGAGTGAGCCATGCTAGATCGCCGAGGTCAAATCTTTCGCTGCCAATTGCGCGTCGGTCCGCACCCTCAGGAGGTCCGCCTGTCTCCCAACTAGGCAATTTTCCCTTCTTTGACCTTCGTTCTTACCGTGGAATCCTCTTTAAAAAACCATGGCTCTTTTACTGGGAGGTCCTCCGCACTTTTACTTCCATTCAGAGCACAATGAGCACATCCTTTAATCGTGATGTGCTTTGAACTTCTCGCTTACACCATATTTCGCGGGAATCGCTAGTCGGCAATACGCGACGACGGCAGCTGGTGTGCCCGACACCTTGTGAGGAAACTTACACATACTGCTGCCCAAAATGGAGCAATGGAGGTTGGAGGAGGGGGGTGTACATGTAACATGATAGTCAGCTATAACCCTGAACACGGCCAGTGAACCTTGCTATCTAATAGAAGAAGAAAGGATATTTTATTGGGAGGAGTTTATTATTACGTAAATTGTGGTTCGTTTCGCCTCCTAACTCAGACGAACCACATATATTCCGCCAACCCCCAGAGGCTTCTACTTCTACTTCTAACTTCTACTTTCCTCACTATTTCGCAAACGCTGACTTGATGTTATCCACATGAATTTCATTCATTTAAACCACATGGATCGGTCGAAATTGCAGTTAGATACCTGATTGTCATCGTACAAGACAAGTGCTTGCGTATCGACAGCTGAAGAGGTCATTGCTACTTCTGTGATCAATAGCACTATCGTATAATAAATATACATAGCATAATCGTCTTCGTGTCTGAAACAATGTACATTACATTGATATCTCTAGAAAATTCACATAGAATCTCACATAGAATATCAAACAGATGACCGCGACGAAGACGTCCTGCATCAAATGAAGAAGAAATAAACAGTGAGTTGCCGATTCCTATTGCATTTGAATTGATGCCTGATCTCAGTGTCAACCGCGGCACATGTTTAATCGAGCAAAATGTTCCTGGTTTATCACCCCTCACCTATCGTTCTAAAACTAGCAGGAGACCTTGAAAAGATTGCACGTGCTCAGTGATGGGCATCATTCAAAGAAGGGAGGAACGCTGCGTACCTGTTGGTTCTAGATCTGATCCTATTTCCAAGATTATCGCTATAAAGGTATGCTTATGTTGTAGACCGAGCAGGCGACACTGTAAGGACGTCAACGTAATCAAGGATCTAGAGGCTGTTAAACTGTCCAAGGAAGGTCTCAAAGCTTTTCGAAATAACTACCTATTCCCATATTCAAAGCTTCTTTATCAAAAGTGCCATAGCCCTGACCTAACTCCAATCTCTCATTTTCAAGAAAACAAATTCTTAAAGAAGCGATTACGAATAAAGTAATATAAGACTGTAGGGAGCTGGCGCACTGCGCACGAGCCAGTATTACCTCACTAATCAGTTACTCGGCTGCCAGGGAAGCGAGGTGTAGCGCTTTCACGACGCAAGGTTCGCTATGCTGAGCAGGAACTTCGAAAGCACTCCGCCCCCAAGCGATCCGCCCACTGGTTTAGTTGGTGATTTGGACGAGCAGCGTTGCCAGCAGCGGCATAACTGGAGCAACTCGACGGTGGACGCGTTGCGCTGAACTCGTTCATACGCCCGCTTTGAGCTGTTACCTGTTCATGAGTGAAAACTAACGGCCAAAAAAGGGGGTCCCGTTTTGCGTTTTCTTGACGGATTTCTCGCTTTTTTCGCTACTGGCGTACCACTGAGCACCACCAGTCTCCTATAAACCCTTCTTGAATCTATTTAAAAAACCCGGAGGTGCACACTGCAAAATAATTGTGTAATTAAATGTTAAATTCGGAAGATGCTCTCGGTCAGTTTGCGAATAACGAAAATGATAAAATTTTCCAGTGATTTGGCGACTAGTAGTCGAAAAGAAACAGTTGGAGTCAACGACACTTGACATTGACGTAGCTTCCGAATTGGCAACTCTGTTCACGCAGTGCTATCTGCACAACACTACACTGCCTGTCGAGAAAGCGAATATTCCGAGTGAGGTGAGCCTTTCAAAACACTTTCTTGTGCTTACGCCTCGTTTCCATTTGGCTGTAAGCGCCAGCAGAAAAAAGCTCGTTTCTGTCACCTGTGGTCTAGAGGATCATTTGTTCATTCAGCAGCATTATTCTCAGAAGCTGTTTTGCATAGCTCAGGAGCGCATTTTTTGCGCAGGGATCCCTGTAAAAGGTTCCCACGGCAGTTCACTCAAGTATTCCTGTCCACCTGCCATCGCTCATTTTCGTGATTACAACCAGTGTGCCATAACTTAGCGTGCGTGCTATCTATCCATCCATATAATCAGGGAGCGGATAATTCTGCAGAGGTCGGAGCTGCGAAGCCCGGTATGACATTTAGTGAACCAAACAAGTATCAGAAAGCATCTGTCGAGCGATTCGTGAGGAAGTTGAATCACCTTTTAATGCAAAGTTTACTTGTCTTGGCCGCATAGCATGGCACAGGCGGAAACAGATTAGCGTGAAGTACTAACCGTGAAGTTCATTCGAATGGTCGCAACATATCCAGAAACTAGAAAGTTGACCAACGGCTTTCTGTAATCTTCCCAGCTCTTCCTGTTCTCCTATTTCCCGGAACATCCAAGATAGAAGTACGATGGGCCTTGCTTCATGGAATGACCGTGACTGGACAGATTACTCATAAACAGTCTTTCGGACCCTAAACTTTCTTTCTGCTTCGTTCAATTCATTGAGCATCGTGTACTTCTCGACAAGAAGGATGCCATCCGTAAAGAAGGTCAAACGTAAACCGCACATTTCACGATTGTCTTTCTCGTCTCAATCCAGCAGCTTCATTATTCACTGCAGTGCGGCTGATCAACTTGATCGAGCTAATGTCGCTTCACCTCACGCCTTTCCCTTTTAGAGCGTAGAGAAGTAGATGCTATAATTCACATCGTTGCACTCCAGCAACGACTGCAATGCCTAGCGTTCTTATAAGGGAGCCCACCCTTTGATTTTCTTGATTACTTGGTGTGTCAAGTAAGTCATGTCACTGTAGTTGTCAATACGGTGAACAGACGAAGAATCAAAACCTGTAATCGAATTTGTATCCTCTGTTTCTTGCAACTATTCTCTGTATTACACTTCATCATCGTTGATATGTTTACCTTCAGGTGAAACAGCCACTAACTGCATTCGTTGCAAATCGCCTCGAGACTGACCGACCCGAAGAACAGCCATTTAATTGGAGCGTGAATGTGGTGGTGGGCAACAGCCATGTGAAGAAAAGTTTGGAAGTGATCACTGAACTCGAGCTGGACGGCGAGAAACTCGAATTTGATGTAGATCAATTCGGTAAACTTCGGTATCAACTTGCCTCCTGCAATCGTGGCCATGGAAAAGCACTCTACCTCATGATTACCATTTACCGTACCGTCAGTATACAACTACATTACCACGGATTATGTATTGATGGAGAATTTGTCGAATTCCATTGTTGCGAACATTTACAGCAATTTCTTGTGTTGTGATGCCTTGACCTTTTTTCCTTGTTGTTTTCAGTAATAATATTTAAAGGGACTTTTATAT